AAGTAACAAAAATACCACATGATATAGAATCGTAAAATTATAGAATTGTTAGGGTTGGAAAGGACCTTAAGATCATCAAGTTCCAACCCCGCTGCCATGGCCAGGAACACCTCACACTAAACCATGTCCCCCAAGGCTCTACCAACCTGGCCTTGAACACTGCCAGGGATGGAACATTCACAGCTTCCTTGGGCAACCTATTCCAGTGCCTCTCCACCCTTACAGTAAAGAACTTCTTCCTTACATCCAATCTAAACTTCCCCTGTTTAAGTTTTAACCCGTTACCCCTTGTCCTATCACTACAGTCCCTAATGAAGAGTCCCTCCTCAGCATCCCTATAGTCCCCCTTCAGATACTGGAAGGCTCCCATGAGGTCCCCATGCAGCCTTCTCTTCTCCAGGCTGAACAGCCCCAACTTTTTCAGCCTGTCTTCACACAGGAGGTGCTCCAGGCCCCTAATCATCCTTGTGGCCCTCCTCTGGACTTGTTCCAACAGTTCCATGTCCTTTTTCATTTCTATGCATGTCATTTTTGGAGCTTTCCAGCTTTTTTGGAGTACTTCAGGAGTTGGCTTTTTCAAAGAGCTACACACCTGTATTTTATTGCTGTGCCTGTGACGTGCTTTCTGTGTGTTACCTTCCATGTGTTTTCATCTGGAACTAGCAGGATGAGTTTACATGGGGTTTTTATTTTCCTCAATGGTCTTTTGAGCTCAGGGTGTCTTTTTTCTGGGAAATGTTACCATCTCTGTGTGTTCTCTTCTGTTGGTTTTACTCAGTCCTGGGAGTTGCAGGGAGGGAACTTTGACTTTGACCAACTTTGTGTTTAGTATTGGTTCTTATTCATGATTCTTTTGGTGGTTTTATGTCAGGTTTTGTCCATCTTTCTCTTATTCTGGATGGTGTTAGGAAGGTTGCTTTGGAAGCTGCACTGATCTCTGTCTCATCAGTAGTTTGGGGGCTTTTCCTGCCAACATGGGTGAGGGTGCAGTCTGTAGAGTGTAAAAGGGAACTTTTGTGAGTCTGAGGGAGTAGTGTCCATCTTGTCTCAGTCTTTCTTTCTTCTGTTTAATGGTGAGAGTTTTTTTAGCACAGGTGATACTGAACGTTTGCAGCAGCAAGTGGTCGCTGCCCTGAAGACACAGGGAGAAAGGGAGAATGCAGACAGCAGAAGTGTTGGCTAAGTGCCTAGGTGCCCAGGTGATGAAAGCTGAAGCATATGTTGCTATGCACTGGAGGCACGGGAATCCTGGGGAAAACTGCATGTCCCTATCACCGAAGTGGCTGGTGCGAGCTGGTGCAGTTTTCTGTGATGTAGGCATGATGCTGTGCTTCAGAGGCAGCAGCTGGAGGGTGCTGTTGCCACAGGAAAGTCTTTTAGGCTCAATAAAGCACAGTTAGGTATGAGATCCTGAGTCAGTCAGTCCTCAAAGGAAATTTCGTGTCATGTCGTAAGCCACCCTGGCCTGGAGTCTTGCAGGTTGTCATTCTTTGGTAGAGGGACAATGGTTAGTTTCTTTTCCTGCTATTGGTTTATTAAAATACATACTTCATTTTCTCAGTGCCTGTAACTGAGAATAACTGCTTTTTCTTCTCTTAATCCTCTATTAGTTATTCAGGATCACCATTTTAGTTTCCACTTACACTTATATTTTGTTTTTCAGAGAGCTAGTGTGAAGGAGCAGAGGCTGGATTTACCTTTGTTTATCCCTGGAGGAGCTGCTGCAAAAGGAAGCGAGCCTATGGTTTTGAATCTTTTCCAGAAGGGGCTGTTTCTCATTGTTAACAGAGGAGACATATCTGCTTTCCAGCTTGTGCTATTCTTTCTCTGTTTAAGCATGGCTTTTGCAGGCAGAGCATTGGATAGATGCAGTCCATGTTCCATTCCCTCACTAAATGTTGTCATTCAGTGTAGGTATGAAAGTGTTTCTACAGGGAGGGGCTGGACAGGAGGGAACTACCCCAGACCCAAGGGAGGATATCTCTGGAGCAGGCCCATGCTCCCTAGCCTAACTTGTGTGGGTACAAAGAAAGCCTTTCTGTTCTTTTTATTTCCTGCACATCTAAAGCTATAAGGAGTATGTGGTCTGGCCCCCTCCCTTGGCTGCTGTGGTTGGACTGTGGCTTACCTGCTTCCCCCTGCCCGAGGGAACCTGTCCCTGCTGCACACTTCAGCACTTATTAAAGGGAGTCAAGTGATTTTAAGAGTCTTTCAAATTCTCCATGGAAGTGCAGTCATGGGTGGCAGGCAGGCAGGCCCTGGAAGATGGAGGGGGACCTGTCACTACAAAGAGAATGAGCATTGTGGGGACAAAATGGGTTTTCTGTCCTCATGAAGGGCTTGTTGCCCTGGGTGCCGGGTTGCTGGAGCCCAGCTTATAAGCAGATATTTGTCCCTGAAAGTGAAAACTGTGACCAGTGCTGATGTGTTCTGAGTTGGTGCAGACACAGGTGAAGGGCAATGTGGCTATGTGGATGCTCTTATCGCGGAACAGGGGAGCATCACCCTTCTTCAGTGGAAATACTCCTCTTTTTGGGGATCCTGCTCACAACAAATGCAGTTGAGGGCAAAGCACAGCTTTTGTTCCTGCCCTACCCAGTGGTCCAGCCTGAAATACTGCTTTGCTGATGGAAAGACCTCAAAATGTCAAAACACAACAAAGCTGCAGACCACAAAACCTAAATCCACAGCAGAGGCTGTGGCAGCTGCTGGTTTACTACCCTTTGCAGGGACAGGGGTGCAGTGATGGCTGAGAACACTGGGATGGCTGGACCAGAAGAGCTCACTTGGAGTTCTCAATGGGATTTTCTAAATTTTTAGGCAATTATGTATCCCATTTTTTTTTGGTTGATTCTATAGTGCTTGGTGGGGACTGAGCTTTTTTCTTTTTTTAGTTTTTACTAATTCAGTCTGAGGTGCATTTCCAGGTGTGGAAAATGGTCAGCTATTTGGCTTTGTTGCACCGAGAAAAGTCAATGAAAATAAGTGGAATGAGTATCAGGACACTCTAATATTGCTATCTAAACTCCTACGATTAGTACAGGTTTCAGAAGATAAATATGGGAGCATAGTTTTGGAAGAAACCGTAAGATTTCAGGAGAAGTTATAAGATTAAGCATCTTGATGATGAAATAATGCAATGCTCTAGTCCCTTAAATTTCTTTGTCAGGCTGGGAAGCAAATGGATTTAGCACTTAGACTATTCAAAATGTCATTTTGAAGAAGGATTTTAGTAATGGTTTTGTCTAACAGAGCAAATTATGAAACCCTTTCCAACATGCATTTTTTAAGAGCAGCTAATGATAAGAGGATTTGGGCCCTTGAATGGATTTGAATATCTTTTTGCCATTAAATTTAATTGGTCAGGCTGATAGTTTAACAGAAATAGGAAAATTCACATTAGTCACTTGGGTAGGAAAATTGTCGCCAAGGAAAAATACAAAACCAATAACTCATGATGCTGATATTGACTCCATGTTTACTGTTTACTCCATGTTTATTAGCAGGATTTGCTGCTCACTTTAAATTCACAAATAGACAAGTTATTTACAAAAGCCACTTGCTCCAAAAGTAGGCTATACCACATAATTTAAAACAGGAAGCACTTGTCATCACAATAGAAAAGACTTCATTTCAATACACAAAAGTCCATATCTTATGTGTAGTTTACATGAGTAGGAACTACTGCTACTGTCACCTGCTTTATCATGATTATGAGTTTAACACCTGTCTTTTAGTTGCACAAAATCAGAATAGTAAAAACAGCACTTAGGGAGGAAATGCAAACTTAATCTTGAGTTGTTGCCTCACATTTGACCAATGTGAGTAGCTTGCTGAAGCCCAGAATCTGTCTTCATTGCTTATAGAAAGACAGATTGTCTCATGATATCTGTGCTGTTTTGGCCCTACTTGTACTTTAAGGTGTACGCAGACTTGGTAAGATATCTAAGCCTGGTTCAGCAAGGTGGAATTTTTCCCACCAACGCACTATAGATTTATATAGTTCCCACCAAAAAACAAGTTGAAACACATGAAATTCCATCTCAGGATTAGAAAACATGATTTTACTGTGAGGGCTGTTGAACACTGCACAGATGTTCCAGGGAAGCTATGGAGTCCTCATCCCTGGAGTCAGTCAAAGCCGAACTGGGAAGCCTGTCCTAGCTGACCCTGCTTGAGCAGAAGGGTAGACTAGGCAATCTTTACATGTTCCCCACCTGCAAGTTTTTATGGTGGATTCTGTGAAGAGCTCAGTGGCTTGAGGCAGCAGAAGCTGGCCTCAGAATGCCTCGAGGTGAGAGAAGGGAGCAGGTCCCTTCAACATGTAACTGCCATTTCCAAATACATAACAGAGTAACACTACATAAAACTACAGAGTGGAGTAAGGGGAATACTGATAAAAAGTTCTTAAACAAGGTATCACAGGAAGAAACTTGAGATTTTCACTAGACTTTGAAACAGTGTTTAGCTTTGTAGAGAATGTGCCTTTCATAAAAGCATGCTGTACATTGGACAATAGAAAGCTGGTGCTCTGTGGACTTCAAGGAGCTTAATCATGAGGAGTAAACTGAGAGTCTAAAGAGTGACATGAAGCAAAATGGGCTTTTTCTTTTTTTTTGCCATCCTCCTTGTGAGCAGAAGGGAAAGGACACCAAATAGCTTAAAGGTACAAGCGATAAGCTAAAAGGAGTTAAGAGATTTAAGAAGAAACAAAGCAACATCATTGCTAGGATCAGCAATTAACTCTTCCATCGTTGTAATGGGCTTTAATGCATTCAAATTTTGTGTTCATCTTAAATTTTAAACAACTCTAAAATGAGTGTCTACATCCCAAATATACAAATGGCTGAAGCACAGCATCAGTCTGAGTTACAGAATTATACAGCAGTCCAGTGAAAAGAGTTCTGGTGGAATTGCACAGTAGGCTCCTTTTCTAGGACACTCACCAGTGGTGGGTATTCCCACAAACAAGGGAGAAGCTTCTGAAGAGGCATTATATGAGATTATAATGGCAGAAAATTTATTTCAGTTTTATGCAGTCTACTTCTTCTGTGACTGGCATTGCACTTGTTCTCAGGTCTAAATCTGTGCTAGATTTGCTTCCACTGTATGTTGATCTCCATCTGAGCAACATGATCTTCTTGAAATACTTCATGGTGTTATTTTTTACAGTTACAAAACACATGGTGTTTATCATGCTGTTACTCATAGCAATGCATTGAACTATGTAAAAAGCAGTAAGATAATGCTTCTCTTTCACAAAGATGGTGGGGAAAAAGTCACGGACAATTGTGAAGCCATAGAAAGGTGCCCAGCAGAGAACATAGGCAGTCAGGATGCACATCAGTACCATAACAGTTTTTCTTCTGCATCGAAGCCTCTTTCTGATCTGTTCTGTCTGAAATCCTGGAACGGTTTTAAACCAAAGCTCTCGAGAGATCCTGGCATAACACAAAGTCATCGTAATCACAGGTGCAACAAACTCAATGCCAAAGATGAAAAGGAAGTATGATTTGTAGTACATCTGCTGGTCAATTGGCCAAATTTGACCACAGAAAATTTTCCTTTGGTTTTTCACTATAAATAACACTGTTTCAGTAGCAAAGTATGCAGATGGGATAGCTACAAGTATGGAGACGATCCAGACCAAGGCGATTAGGAAGGTTGCTGTTTGATAATTCATGCGTGGTTTCAGTGGATGAACAATGGCCAGATACCTAGAACAGACAAATACAAAATGAAGTCTGAAGACACTATTGATCAAAACACAGTTTTGAATACAGAGTGGACAGAATTAGATCAAAACACAGTTTTGAATACAGAGTGGACAGAATTAGGCAGAAGGAAATTGCTGTCATTCTTGAGAGAAGGAGAGAGCCTGACAAATTTATCTGTGAGGAGGGTTAAGAAAACTTTCCAAAGTAGCAGCCAAGAGCTGAGTTCCTAAATCTAGGCAGAAACTCTGGAGCAAGTGTCTGAAGGTTAGGACAGTAAGTACTTGGCAATCCAAAAACCTGAGCATACATTAAGGTGTCTGAGGGTAGCTTTAAGACTTCAGCCTTAAACTCACGCCTGTTAACAAGGTCAACCTAGAAAAGTTGCAATTTGGTATCACAAGCTTTTTAACACAGATAACATGTCTGGGAGTTGTAGAAAGGGGAAAGAGAGGTAATAGGCCTGTTACTGGCAAATATGTTTGCAGGACCTAGCACAATATGCAGGTGATGTTGTACCCAGGACATGCCATGATACAGCATCAGGAAATTCTTTGCTGGAAATGAGTTTGAAATGTGAAGTAATTACACCTAGACAGGTACAGGTAAAAATACAAACATGCAGAAGCAGGAAAATATTTTCCCGAGGAAGAGAACTATTTAAATATGCTTTTTCTCACGAAGAAGCAAAGAGCTGAAGCTGATGTTAATGAATGGATACGGGTGAGTGTGTTTTCAAGCCAACAGGTGATTGTGTATCATTTTTCTGCCCATGGAAATTTTTGTTTCATGTATTGGAGGAGGATATTGCTAATTAATCTTAAATCTGCTATGTTAAGTAATATGCCAAACCATAAAACTTAAGTATTTGCACTCCTTATGACTGTAAAGCTGCAAAGTGTACTGCACTGGTTCACAAAAAAGGAGAGATTAAAGTACATTACTTGAAAGATTCATCAGTTGCCCTCAATTCAGCTAAAAGGGGGCTAGGACCAAATGGCATTCACTCTGGATATTGGTTTATTTGGGTTTTTTTGGTTGGAGTTTGGGTGGGTGATTTTTTAAGAAGCTATAGATGCAGGAAAAACTTACATTAGTGTACACTGTCACAAAAAGATTAGGATATTTCTGCTAAAAGGAGTTTTTTATCAGAGACACTCCAGAGTTCCCACTACAATTGTATTTAACACAAAGGGTTTTTTCAAACCCTGGAATTTCTCATTCATTCAGAGGCTATACATAAAGAGCATCCACAGGATATATTAATTCTAAAATAAAATGGAAAGTCAGTGGTGCTTTTCATCAGCCAGATCTTATAAGCAGAGGAATTGTTCATCACTCTTAATAGCGCAGGCTAGATGTCAAGGGGCAGCAGAATTAATCAGCCTCATTGTGATCTGATAAATGGATATTTTTAGATCAGGCCCTGTGGAAACAAGGTTGTGGAATAATGTATGTGTATGCATTCATAAGTATGAATATCTGCCTAGCAGAACTTTTGGCTGGATGGGGTAAATCTCTACGAGAGAGTCAGGAGGGAGCTTTTGTGGTAGGTTTTCCAATTCTCATTGCTTTCCGTACTTGGGCTGTTACTGTGAAATGGTCCTGGAGCACATGAACTGAGTTGAGATGAAACTGCCTTGGAAGATGTGCTCCAAACATGTGCGTAAAACACAGCACGTGCCCATGAGTATCCAGTCCAGGGGATCCACTAAAGCTCTTCCCCAAATATTTACAGCATGAACATTGGATCCTTAGCATGAACTCTTGCTCTTCAGATCCTGTCCTTTCACACTGCATTATTTTCTAGTGTAGATGTGTCCTTAAGTATGCAAAATTCCCACTTTTTATGTGAATAGACATCGAGGAAGATGAAAGGGAGCCCCACCTGAGGGAAATCCTGTGGGACAGGTTTACTCTCTGTGCAAAGGTAAGCCCTTTCAAATGGCATGGTAAGACTTTTCTTAGGAGCTTATTCTTTTTAGAGACTGAAGTCAACAACCCACATGACATAACCAACATGCAATGGTTGATTGTTAAATGAATAAGGTTTCTCTCTGTTTACCAAGTCAAAAGCTCACAAAACAACAACAACAACAACAACAACAAAAACAAACAACAACCCAACAAAAGAACAAACCCTGCAGTGGAACTATAACAGTGTGTTCTTTCAACAAACTTCAATGATTAATTATTTCCAGGATTGTTTTTAAAGATGCCTGGGGAGATATGCTAGAGATCGTCTGTTTTGCTGGCAGGCATGAGGGCTCAGTGACCCATGTTACTTCATCATTCTGGGATGCACTAGCAGAGCTTTCCAAGAAAATTTTTTGGAAGTTGAAGAAGATAAGTGACAGAAAATGGTAATGCATACGTTATATTGTTTAGAAACTTAACCCTGAGTCCTCAGCTGCTGTCCTAAGGTTATTTTGTCAAGACGCTTGTTAAGAATTTGTTTCATAGGAGCTGATTATATTTTCTGCTACACCAGGACATCCCTGAACTTTCCCAGAGTCTTTCCACAGGCTTCTTTCGACATCAATAACAGCATAATCAGTTGCACACAGGCTATGCCTGTACAACCATCAGCAGGATTAACTGACCTGAGCCTTTTGGATCAGGTACGAAAAACTGTGAAATATTAGACTAGAGCATAACATGGCATATGAGAGAAATTGGGGGAAAAAAGTGAAGGGGGATGGGAGGGGGGAATCATGCAGTGCATATATACAGAGGGTATACAGAGGTATAGATTGTGTTTGTACACAGACAATGGTTTGTTGTGATGTCCTTTCCATAAAGAGTTTACTCTGCAGGTCTCTGGCTTTTTATGATGGCTGTGGGCACCGAAGATCAGCTTCAGGCCGACATAAGTCTGGCACGACTGATGCAGAGTCCACAGTGCATGAGGCTAAGAGAGCAGGAGTCATAAGAAAGAATATAGTTACATTATATTGTTAAAATTCCTTGAGTGAGAGGCAGGCATAGGACTGCAGCATAAAACTCAGGACTCATAAAACCTCAGGACTGCAGCATAAACCACGTAGTATAGCAGGTGGATATCATTATGTTGTTCTTATTCCAAATCTGTAGGGAAATCTCTACTAAACTGGGTTGGAAGAGCATTTTACCACTTTCTGGACAGTGCCATGAATGACCTATGGGTCTTTTGTGACTTGCCACTGTGTCATCCTCAAGGAGGTGTGTAAAGAGAGAGGAGAGTAACAGAGAGGAGAGTCCTGGTCACATTCGCTGAGCATCCACTGCTGGGATGGAGCATTCAGCCAATACCTCAGTACTATCAAATGGTTAATTTAATGATTGTTGGGTGTTTTTTTTTCCTGTACAGCATGATAGGGAATAAGAACTCTTTTTTGCAGGCTGGACAGAAGTCTGATTTTTGACTCTTTCACACCAAAACAAAACCTGTGAAAATACTGTGGAGGGAGAAAGAAATATCCAGTAAGGCAATAACCCTGTTGGAAATTCACTTGTCAAATTCTGTATCACCGGCCAACTATTTCTCTTGCTGAAGAATGTTTACTTCACTGTTTAGAATCAGAAAAACTATGTAGGCCAGTAGTAAAAGTTCCTTACAGATGTATGGGTTTGGATCAGGATTGTATAATGCTGATGAGCACCCTTTCCTCTGTGTGTTTCTGATTTGCCTGTTTCTTTCTCCTCTTTCCCTTATTTTATAAATCCTCTCCTCCACTTGAATCAAGCATATTTTTATGAAAAAAAACCATTTTAATAAGTCTGTCATTTTCACCTGAAAAGTTAAATCAAGAAATTTCCACCGAGCTTTCTCTTAAGTAATGTCATAACCTTATGTGATAATTTTCTTTTTAAATAAGACACCCAGGTCTGTACAGTACCTACCTTGGCATCAGCAAATCCTGCAAAACAGCATACCATGTTAAAACCCCAGAAATCTGGACAGCCAACCTCAGAAGTTCTGGCCATCTCCTTGTGTAGTAGCCATAGCACCCCACTTACCTGTCAACAGCAATAGCCAGGAGAGCATTGGTAGAAACATAGAGGGAGACTGTCCGTAGGTAGTTGACTGAGGCACAGAGGATGTGGCCATGCTCCCAGGACAGCTGTCTCACCACATAATAGTCCATCTCGAAGGGACAGCACACGATGGCCACAATGAAGTCGGAGATGGCCAGGTTGGCAATCAGCAAGTTGGTGAGGTTTCGCAGCTTCTTGTAGCGGGCAAGAGCAGCAATGAAGATGAAGTTGCCAATGCCACAGACCAGCATGATACCAACCAGAGCCACCCCGATCACAATCTTAGCTGCGAAGAAGGTTCTGGTTTTGGTCATGTCATCTTCACTGTCCAGTGGCAGGTCATAATCACTGTAGCTGAAATTGAAGGGGAAGGAGAAGTTTCTCAAGGAGGTTAAATCCCCATCATGGAGATTGTAGATTGCAGCAAAGTTAGTGTTAACGGTGGCATTTGAGTTATGTTCAGCTTGCTCCATGGCCATGGCTGTCTTGTTATGGCATACGTGGCTTGGCTGGCCCTTGGTTTCGTATTGGAATTACCGAGTGTGGCAGGGTACAACACTGGCAGGCAAGAGACCTCATCCAAACTTTCCTTCTGAGCAGTGAGTCACCTTGTGTTTGTCCCCATAAGATCGTAGAGCAACAGCCTCATTTATCTCCTTCTGTGGGAGCAAAAAGAGGAAAACATTTCCTGAGAGGAAATCACAGAAAAAATACTGTGCTGGAGCCAGAGCAATAGCCATTATTGCCCCACAGCTCTATTGCTGGCTGTATCCAGAGGGAAAAAATACTCTGTGAAAGGATGCTTCTGTTATCATAAAATCCCTTGAGTTGTGTAATGCACCAGTTGTTACACCCAGCATTTTTATTTACCAATGGTGAAATTTTGTTTTCAGCACGCAGTGAAAAGATAATACAGGAGGAGTGTAAAATCCAGTTTAAACCTCCACCAGCCTTTAAGCCCACAGTGCTGTCATCCCTGTGCAGGGTAAAAAAAAGCTAAAATGAGATGACATCTCAATTTGCTGAAAGGTATCTGATGTGCCTTATGGACAAAAGTTTTTGCTTTATTCTAGATGTGTCATTCAGATTGGTGTGGTAGGTGAGAATTAAAACAGGACTGATGTCCTGGCTTCTAAGTACATTTCTAATTAAGCAAGAGTTGCCAAGCCCCAAGAAAACAGTGAAGCCAGCACTTTCCTTTTAGCAGCCATTAACTGAGTGGGGGAACCAAATTTTCAGCCAGCATAATCCATTATTGCTTCTCCCAAACCAGTGGAGCTCTGCCAATGTGTGTAGACAAGATTTTGTCCTGTGAACCAGCTTGTAGGGCTTAGCATCCACAGACTCTTGAGGTGAAAGAGAAAATCTTGCTTAAACAAGATCCTCTCCCTGTGAATGGTATATTTGCCTTCCCAGCAAAGTGCCTTGAACTTTTAAAGACTGGGAGGAACAGGCTTCCCTCTTTGTACTGCTGCTTGCACCAAATTTATTTATTTATAAATTTATTTATTTTCAACACTGATGTAAAAAAAAATATCTAACCTACTCCCTAATTTTGCCTCTTCAACAAAATGCTAGGAAGGCTGTCTTTTTGTTTCTGCCCATGGCACACCTAGAAATCCTCGCACCAAACTCCCAGCTGTCAGGACAGTCCCACCCCATCCTAGAAGAGAATCTGGGGCTATTACCACCTCTCTACACTGAAGCAGTAAGTCTTCAGGGTGTTGGATGCTATCAAACAATGTCCAGCATGGCTACAAAGGACAATCTACATAGCAGAGCTATTGTCCCCTTCTTTCCCTGGAACCCTCAGACCCTGATGTACCAAAACTCAACAAATTTCTGAGAGAAACTCTCTCGTAACTTCTGTCTCCACATTGCTTTTCAAACCGAGCAGAACAACAGAATAACAGAAAACTAAAGCCTGAAACTAAATAACAGTTCAAACAATTGACTGCTTTCCAAGACATCCCCACAGCTGCCTGGAAATGTGAGTGTTCATTTAAGAGAAGTATTAAATAAATACTTGGATGCAAAATCTGTATATTGGTCAAAGCAAGGTGTAGTGTCTGTTCCAGGGAGGTTTCCCTGCAAAATGTCAAGAGAGAGCTTTAAAATACATACAGGCAACGCAACCATCCACAAACTGACATTAACACAATCAGCTAACTGTACCTGCTCTCATCTTCTTGGAGTTCTCAGGCACCATGGGGATAGCCTCCAGGTTTGTCCCCTGCAAATGTGCTGCTGTCACAGGAGCAGAGAAAGGATCACTGAAAGCAGCCAGAGGACTTTGCTGAATGATCATTTCTCTCCCAAGCAGGTTTGCCCTGCTGCTCAGGGGAGGATGGCTCCGCTGGCTCTGTGCATGCATCTAAAGCCTTTTCTCAGTGGGAGGCACCTTGAAGCTGTCCATGCATTTCTGATTTTAAAGAGGCAGTGCGATACGGAGACAATAGAGCACAGCCCTTTTCTACTCTGCTTTAAGCCCCCTGAATGCATCAATCTGGCAGAGTGGCTTTGTTACCAAGTATGAGCATGGAAGGTTTAAAATCCCAGTCTCCACTTGCTCTTTGACTTTTGTCTGTGCTGGGCAGCAGCTACCTACACCTGATGTGACACAAAAGCAAGACACAAACCTCCCAGTGAAGAGGAGGGGGAGGAAGGAGGATGAATTACTTTCCTAGGGACCTTTCTCCATGTATCTCTCCCTGGCTATTGTCTTTAAGACTGCAGCTGTGGCAGCTCCTGCAGAAGGAGGGTCAAACATTTAGTAGCTGTAAATCAGAGGACCCTGACAGCTTTCCTTGCCCTCTCAGGGAATTACTTAGAGTGGATGAAGGGCAGTGAATCCTTAAGGATCTGGTGTCCTTTGCTAATGCTGCCTCCTCATTGCTCTGAAGTACTTGCACCTCGGAGAGCAGTTCCCTTGCTTCCCAATTCTCCAGAAAGAAAGGAAATGCACAGGAGATCCCCATCCTCTAGTGCAACTCTGGGCTTAATCACATTAGATGATATTTTCCCAGGTGCATAGTTGGGACACGTTACATGGTCACCAGTGGATGAGACCATAGGGCACTGTCGAAGGTCATGAAGAGTATAGCAGGTTTGCAGAAACCTAGCTTTCAGGAACTAGTGGACACTTAGCTCTAGAAGAAAAAGACGAGGAAATAAATCTGTTAATACGAAATGTGTCTGGGGTAAAAGGGCCACTAATGTGACATTTCTTCCAAGAAACCTGTGGAAAGTCAGAGAGTCACCACTATCTGGAGCCAGCAGACAGAAGTAAGAATTTCACAGTGTATACTTTGCTTGGCTTTATTTGAACAGTACAATAGATGAAAGCCGTCATGAGATTTTAATATCCTGAAAGGGTGCATCCAAATGAACAATGAAGAAATCAGATGCAGTCTATTTTTTGAATTCTGTCAAAATGTAAACATAGTAAGTACAGGGAGAGGCAAAGTGAATTTAATGCATACATCAGCACCATGTGTAAAAGATCACTAAAATGGGCCACATAAACTTTATACGTCCCTTAAGAAAAGCTAGTACTGAAGGGAGCCCTTGCAAGCTTTAAGTTAGGAAGATGCATGATCTCTTTAAGGCTTTCTTCAGCTGTCTCACATTATCTAGTGAGTTTATCAATCAGCATGATACCCAAATACTTCTATTGCTTTAGGCTGAAATCTCAGCTGCTACAGAACTGTCTATCCCCATTGACAGGTAGTATTGGAACCCTTATAACTACAGCCCCTTTATGCTCTAGATTCATGCTCTGTATGTCGCTTCTGTATGGCAGTTGTTCATCCACCATGCTCTGAGTAATTTTGCTATATGTGTTAAGCTGTTTCTCAGTAAATACTAGTAATATTGTGAAATTATGTGATTTGAATGTGCTGGCAAGGCGGTGCTTTGTAGTTTAATAGAAGTTGTTGAATGGACAATGAAACCAGTAGTCCTGACACCTGCCCTTAGAGCCAAATGTGGAGAGTGAAAGGTAAAAGATGGGTTTAGAGCTTCCATAACTGTCCTGATAACCTGCCCCACTACAATAAGGGCTGGTGGTAGTGGAAAGACTCTAAAGCCATGGGGAATGTGGAGGAGGATTTCCCAGCTATAGATGATGTGTAAAAAGTCCCAAAGGCTGCCTTCAAAAAACACAGTCTCTTGTGACTTCTGGTGTAAACTGCTGAAAGAGCAGCTCCCTGGGGTGGCCAGGCTGCAATATGGCCTGGGCAACCGTCTTAGTCTTTCTGTGCACAGCTGGGATTTTCATTCTACCAGCATTGCTCAGCCCTGAGGCTTTGCTGTCTACAGGTCTCCTCTTCCTGAAACAGGGCACTAGGAGGCTTGAGGAGACACAGTGATCCTTCCTCACAGCCCATACATAACATCTATTTACTTCATGATCACACTCTATTACATTTTATTACAAAGATCCCATTGTTTTGTAGAATGCATGATCCTGATGTTGGAATTCTGCATGGGACATCCCTGGAAAGGGACTTTTTATAAGAGCAAGTAGCAATAGGACAAGGGGCAATGGCTTTAAACTGGAAGAGGGTAGATTTAGATTAGATAGTAGGAAGAAGTCCTTCATTGTGAGGATGATGAGGTACTAGAACAAGTTTCCCAGAGAAGCTATGGATGCCTCATCCTTGGAAGTGTTCAAGGCCAGGTTGGATGGGGCTTTCAGCAATCTGGTCTAGTGGAAGGTGTCCCTGCCTGTTGCAGGGGGGTTGGAACTAGATAACCGGTAAGGTCCCTTCCAACCCAAACCATTAGATGATGATGATGACAAGGTTTCTCCTTGATAGCATTTATTGGTGGTTCCCTTATGGTGTCATAAGTTTTGACATAGCATCACAATGCATTTTCTGAGACCAGTGTTGATGAATTCAGGCTGAGAAAGAAAAGTTGCTATTGAAAGCTGCCATGTCAACAATTTACATTCCTGTTTGTTTCTTTTCATCATTATGTTCACAGTTTGAACGGGGGAGTTATTTGGAGTTTAAATAATGCAAAAGAATTGCGAGGTAAAATACTTGTTTAGAGACTTTCAAATAATGAATTTCTAAAGCTAGCATTTAGCCTGGCAACAGACCTAAAGGACTCTGGCCTTTCATTTCAAAGCAGTAAATTCACCAGCTACTGTCAATTTTTTTTCCTAATTGCTAAATAAATCGGACTCTGAGTGAGGTAATTAATCCTAGGGGACTTACATAAGCTTTGCATAAAGTATAGTTGGAGTTTTACAAAGGTTGCTAATGCAAATCAGTTGGTGAAATGTGACAAAAGCATCAGGCATCCTGTGATTTTCTGGAAAAAAAACCCCAAAAGGTAGCAGCACTCATGGGTCGTGTATTTCTGCTCAGTACTCTAACCAGACATTCAGCTCAGGGGCTTTACTAAATCTAAGAGTGTGTAACTGACAGCGGTGTGTGAGAGGATACTAGACTTGCTTACGTGAAGAGTTAGGTATATTTTTCTATTACATGAAAACATGCCTTGTGATACTAAGGGAAAACAACTTTTGGATGGAGTTTGGCTCAAAAGGTGCACACAGGAGTAGTCTCACCATACTCAGCTGTTCCAATAGTGACTTGGGCTGTGGAGAAGTCCTGGGAAGGAGAAAGCAGAGATTGCAGAGTGC